ATGTAATAGAACTTAAAATGTCACGGTTTCTTGGAACGAATACTCAACTGTGAGCTAAAACTTGGGCTTTTAGTTGATGAGAAATTATAATCGAATATATTCATCTACACACGTTCATATTGCATTTTGATTTGTTGAACGCGAACACGTGCTCAGTTGCTAATTGGTTAGTTATTTCAGCGAACCATTTCGGTGACTAGTGACAATACCGCTACTATCAAGGCAGAATACAAGCACATTGCCATGACTTTGTAAAAAATGATTAAGCATTAGAAACTGAAGAGATGATTTTGAAGAAAACAAAGACTTACACACAGATGAAAAAATACAGAAACAAAATTACAGAGAAAAACAAACAAACAAACAAACAAACAAAACAATATCTTCACGAAGTAAATCTGGCACAAAAACAATGAAGGAGAGCAATAATGTGAACAGTTCTTCCACATTCCGAAATATTTACACCCCTATTTGAAACAGAATCCCAACTAAAGTTGATATGCCCAATTTAACGGAGATCGATCCCCAAAATCAGGTAAATCGTAAACATTTTAGAAGGACAAAATAATCACAAATATATAGCCACCGGGAAAATACTTCATTCACATTTATAACGGAATTGCGTTCATGTTTTCTCCAATCTTTTTTACATCGTATGTTTTTTTCTTCATTTTCTCTGCATCTGCAATAATGAAAGCTATAAATCGATTGTGCTGTGTTCTTCAACTTATGTTCAGTCGTATCTATCAGCAGTGTCTAATTAACTATGTGTTGGCGAACCATGTGTGGATATACCATGTTTACCCACGATATAAAACCTTAGCTGTGAATTACCGAAATAAGGCATCGTAAAAACGACTGAAGTAGGTTTATATTTTCGCTTTATTGACTCCCGCTTTGTGTTCGGTTCTGTTGACAATATTCAATATTGATCTGTGGTTTTACTCTTCTTGGGCCCGGGGGGAAACCAGCGGTGTACTACCGTGAGGTTGACCTCCCTCCGCTATTTGAGACCCTGTTCGCAGCTCGTCCCAACCTGGTTGTAAGACGCGGTGGGGTCAATAAACTAACTCGAAGTTTAGAATAGTTCAGCGTTCAACGAGTGAATCACTTTGTGTGGGTAATTTGTAAGCTGGCTAGACTCGTGAATCATTGGTCACATTTGACGAGACAGATTGTGTCCCAAGTGGGTCACCACAAGGGATACACCACTTTAAATTTACGACGTGACTGCTGTACTTAGACACTCACTTTTATCCCAAATAAGTCCAATGCGTGAAGGTCGTCAGTTTATAATAGTAATAGGGATTTTTTTTAATTTCCTGTCCCTGTCACACACCTTGTTTCTCGGCTTAGCAATAGAACGGTATACATAACACCAACAAAATCGGACAGCGTCGAGGGGTTAAAGTTCGATGCGTTGATCCTACGTAAATGTTGTACAAATATCATTCACTCAATCCCCGTAAACAATTCTAGATATAAGGGGATAATTAACCAATAGAAATTCTTTGAAGAGATCGGTAGATTAGAAAAGTTTCCCCACTTTAGATTTTTCGATTTACAAAAACAATGAGACTGCATTTGAAAAAAAAAGGTCATTCAGAACTATTGCGACTCGTGTTGACAAAGGTTTTAGTGCTCTTCACACATTCAACAGAGCTGCCATAAAACAGTAAAATACTGCCGTGCCCCATTGACATGAGCTGAGGGTACACTCATTCTAGTATCTTACACATGAGATTTTCCCAGTGACAAGAACAAAAGTCAAACATAGCGATACCTTGCTAACTACGTAATGAAATCATCGAGTGTGTTTATATTGTTATCCTGGTTGTATGTTACATACACAAACGATCCATATCTGTTTATTAGCATCCTGAATTTCCGTTGCCTTTGTTCTCCCATCTTCTGTGTGCACATGGTAGAACTTTGTTAAGACAACGTGGCAATTGACCAGCATCAGATGTCAATTTGCAACAGTTGGTCAATATTGATCTCTGAACATGTTACATTTTCGATTCAAGTTCAAAGCCCATGCCCATTGAAATACAACATCATTCGATGTTGATATTATTATTGTTGTTATTTTCTGTAGTATGTCTTGATCATAGACGTGCACCAGCTTTATATAAAGTACACACACTAAAAACACCCCTCACAACAATGCACACAAGTAAATGAACAAGAATACTTGCCCCCAAGTAGGAGGAACGTGGTAATCAATGCAGTCTAAACAACTTTTGAAACGAGCAGATCAATTTTGAAAGGATGGTCATTGAAAAGGGAGTGATTCAATTAACTGCAGGGCAAAGGTAATTATGGTGCAGAAAGTATTTGACCGAGGGATGACAAAATATTTCAAAGTCGTTAAAAGTACACGCCTGACATATGACACATAGGTTAAATGCTTAATATTGGCAACTGAAGAGGTGATCTGTATAAAGATAGGCTCATGTTTAAATCGATATACAGTCACACATGGCATGTATTGCAGAAGACGAAAGACAACATTTGTAGAGCAAGCACTCCGGACCCAATAGATGCACAATAGCGAGGATACACATTATTCGTTCCGTGCTTCATCACATGTTGATTGGAGTCACGTGCTGCATTTCATTTCATTTCACATCCGGGCTTTTCGAGTCCAGAAAAGTTAAGCATTACGTCGATGGCATTAAGTGCATAAAATTATTGTTAAAATAAGTTTTAATCGCTCGTCACATATTTAAAATTTGTTTGTGAGCTCTATTTAAACAGAAATGCTGATTGGCAAAATTAAAGTATTGAACTGGGTCGATATACGGGTACATATATAGAGAGATTAGGTTATATATACTCTATGATTCCTATTTAGTGGGGAGTGAAAATCAGTATATTTTACATTGTAAGCATACTAACGAAGGATACAGAGTGTTACAATGCATTGCGCTTTATACAAGTAATAGAGACCCAACAAATTTCCATGGAAGATCTTTGTAGCAATAATGTCTTTAGTTATAATAAATCAATTATAGCATCTTAGAGAGTTTTATTTTGTAAATTCTATATTTATTCCAGTTTGTTATTGTTATGTTACTGTATTTATCAAGTTTTTCGGTGGAGAGATTTACCAATTACGTCCTTCTATCGATAACTATACGACGTCGTAAATCGCTATGTATAATAATATATAATAATTTATAATATCGTGGCATGATATCACGTCAGTAGAGTGTAATCTTATGATCTATATATTGGTATGTGTATAGTACTGGTACCATAGCGTGGACTGGTGTGATCTTATGATCTATATATTGGTATGTGTATAGTACTGGTACCATGGCGTGGACTGGTGCGATCGTATGATCTATATATTGGTATGTGTATAGTACTGGTACCATGGCGTGGACTGGTGTGATCTTATGATCTATATATTGGTATGTGTATAGTACTGGTACTATGGCGTGGACTGGTGTGATCTTATGATCTATATATTGGTATGTGTATAGTACTGGTACCATGGCGTGGACTGGTGTGATCTTATGATCTATATATTGGTATGTGTATAGTACTGGTACCATGGCGTGGACTGGTGTGATCTTATGATCTATATTGGTATGTGTATACTACTGGTACTATGGCGTGGACTGGTGCGATCTTATGATCTACATGTATAGTACTGGTACCATGGCGTGGACTGGTATGATTTTATGATCTATATATTGGTATGTGTATAGTACTGGTACCATGGCGTGGACTGGTGCGATCTAATGATCTATATATTGGTATGTGTATAGTACTGGTACCATGGCTTGGACTGGTGTGATCTTATGATCTATATATTGGTATGTGTATAGTACTGGTACCATGGCGTGGACTAGTGTGATCTTATGATCTATATGTTGTTATGTGTATAGTACTGGTACTATGGCGTGGACTGGTGTGATCTTATGATCTATATATTGGTATGTGTATAGTACTGGTACCATGGCGTGGACTAGTGTGATCTTATGATCTATATGTTGTTATGTGTATAGTACTGGTACTATGGCGTGGACTGGTGTGATCTTATGATCTATATATTGGTATGTGTATAGTACTGGTACCATGGCGTGGACTGGTGTGATCTTATGATCTATATATTGGTATGTGTATAGTACTGGTACTGGTACTATGGCGTGGACTGGTGTGATCTTATGATCTATATATTGATATGTGTATAGTACTGGTACAATAGAGAAGACTGGTCTGATCTTATGATCTATATTAAGTACGAAGTTAGAACACGGAGTCACGGGGAAGCAGTGAAGTCATGCGACGCGTGATTGTTACATTTAACTAGTATTCACTGACTATCACTCACAGCATTGAGAGTATTCCAAGTGGAACTGAAGCAGTCCCGGTTCCACAAAGTACGACAAAGAACGAGTTAATAGTGAAATAGTTTAGTTCGGCACTCTGTGAGGAACCTGCGCACTAGCAACCGCGCAGTACGCGACCATATACCCCTCGCCCGTTTATCTGATGCCAACATGGAAAGTGCGCTGCAATGATCGATTTACAACGGCTTCGCACTAATCGGCGACCTCACATCGCCTTATCAAAAGCGCCGATCGTTGTAAAAAGGCGGTGATAAGAATCGGATTTTTACACGAACCACCAAAGCAATTTAATAATTTACAGCCAGATTTGGGGCACGTACTTAATGTTGTGTGGATAATAAATATGAATAGACAACACTACTCGTTGCAGACATGGGTGCGTGAGCAAATTACATTAAGAAAAAAGACTCCGGTAAATAGACAAATCGCGCTGAACAAATAGAGATTTTGTCTCACGAAGGCATACCCACACGTAGCGTCAACTAATGAGAAAAACAGGTATATATTCTACAAGGTAGCCGGTACGTAATGCTGAAGCGTGGAACCAAGCAATGTTTGTTTTTTCTCGGATGTGCCATCATTTTTTTTTCTCCGGTGGAAAAATGTTATGAACTTCTTTTTTTACATTTCACTTACCTTTAGTAATTGCACTGCTAACGTGGTTCTTTCCAATCAACGAAAGTATCTGACAGAGACACATGAACAGGGACAGCCAGTCTGATTTTAACAAAACCATGACGACTCCCACGAAGTGGAACTAACCGACGTACACGTAGGAATCAATCGTACCTTCTCGGATCAAGACAGCCGGGCGCTCAAATTCATGACACATGGACTGGGCGACATGAAAAACGCGGCGCAAGTCGGATCGCACTCACTTGTTCATTCGTACTCTTGCTCTACCCCGATTCCACAATATAACGCTTTCAGAGTTCCTGTCAAAAGTTCTTAAGCCCAACAATTGTTGTTTTCAGAGCAACTGATTATATACACTACACAATGATATAGCAGATGGCTGTGCCGTTAAATGTGTACCTCCCCGCCCCAGGTGATGCGCCTGGAAGAGATCCACTTAACGGCTTTTCCGGTTAGTACGTCACTAACTGGACTACATGTTCGTACCGTGATATCAGTGTTCGTTGTCATGGTACTTAAAGTTCGGTGTTCGACGAGAAGTACGATGTGATCTCTTATATCACGTATGACACGATTACAAAGTATGTGCCCCCCCCAATATTTGACTCGGGAAAACATTACAATGGAAATATTACGTAGATTTAATCGTCGATTTGTAACATCTAATTCGGCTTCGCGTCGGATTCGCATTCTACTTCAGAAATAAAAGAGATTCAAAAATAAAGACCCTCTCCAACTCATACGCAATCAACACCGTGACACAGGGTGCTATTTTGCACTCTTCTCATGTAAGAACAGTCACTCGGCAGTCTGTTGTCATACAATCTTTCGTAATGGCAAGTTGGCTTCCCAACTACCGAAAGCTGATAACATATTTACGACTTGTGTTCTCAGCTGCGATGGAACACTGTCACTTTAGCATCAGCCTGGTGTCGGATATTCGGGTACTTTCGTTTTGTATCAGAGCCGAGTCATTACGCACTTCTTACATAAGCTTGCAGTACGGGCATAATTCATCGTAATCGAGTATCAGGGTGACGTGTTGACAAGACGTCAGTAATTTCTCTTCAAGTGCTGTTCATTTCCAGTGTACAGGACCATTGCATTATGAGACGTGCTTTGTTTAAAACATAAGGAACTCACTTAGAACACCTGACATTGCCGTATTCACACGATCACACGACAAGACGTGCCCAGTGTCATACGGACGACACTGGAATGATAGGAACGCACCTATGACCAGTCTATAACACGACATATCTTATGTCGATAAAGTAGGCGACATTTATAATTTATATATAGACAGTACTTCAGATAAGCCAGTGTCACAGTGCTGTAATCACCTCTATAGTGGGTTAATTGGATTACAACACTCAACATTTTGCACCACGTGACCAGCGCAGAGATCACTTCAATCATAAATTCTTGTAAATTCTTGCAGCACCGAGCGGCAAATCTAAAGCGAAGCAGGCAAGTATAGGTATACAGTCGAGTGTTTAATCTAATGATGGTCTGTCCGGCTGGGCCAATAAATTTACAACATAGATCGCCCACCTCGGATGAGGGTGTGTTATTCACCAACTCTCTCACCGTGAGTGGCCTCAATTATTCAATATTCAATTAAAATACTGTAAAATGACTAATTTTCACTGGGTTTAAATTTCACTGATTTAGCATTTCAGGCATATTCAGTGGGTTTTAAATTCATGGTTTTATCATTTAGATAATGTGTTCTATGCTAAATTGTACATATTCAATGGGTTTTAATTTAGTGCATTTTCCAGTCAGCGAAATAAGCAAAATTAAAATCCAGTGAATAATTAATCTTTTTACAGTAGTCAGAAACGATGTCTATCCGAGAATATTTGTCAGTGTTTTTAATCCAACACATAAACCATAACAAACAAAATCTGTCAGTGGTTGCGTTTGAACAGATAATTTCTATTCGCTGGTGAAGGTAGGCCTATTGTTTTTAAAATACTAGTACTCGCCAAAATAGAAGCGTACAGAATACACGACACAATAACAATATGTTTATTAAACATTATTATATGATGATTCGTGCCAGACAATGTGATTCGCTGAAACTCCCTGGAGCCTGCGCAGTACAGACTTGAGGGGAGTACGACCTGTTGTTGGCAGCACTCTATCGAACGGTAAAATAAAACACACTATTCTATGTGATGTCCCTAGATGCAACTTGTAATCAGTGTCCCGCCTCGGGGTTGGATTCCCAGTCCTTCTTTTTATTTTCGCGTCATTGTGCGCAGCTATTCGTACAGAGCGGCCACAATGACGGTCAATTTTCGCCAACAAAGCTTGTTCAACACATTTTCTTCAGGAACAATCACGGTAAAGAAAATATGCAGAGAAGCCGAGGGACGATGAGACCCTACGTCTGGCTGACGGACTGGGTGAGTGACTGCAATGATATAAGCTACAACTGACACTGTTCCGCTGAAGAGAATATAATTAGTTTCATGTCTAATCGTTTAGTAGCACGATTCCGTGCGCACACGTCGTCCGTTTTACAATTGTCTGTAATCCCTCGGAAACATCATGGCCATGGTGGCACTGATGTATTTTACTATTTCTAAGTACTTTCCTGCAGACTGAACCTTAAAACTGTGGGAATATAATAGGTAACGACGATATATATTTAATTCGACCTGCCACATCAGTCCAGGCGTCAAAACTAGGGCCAAGAAACATACATAAAAATAAACATAATCGAAAAGTTAAATTCCTTGAATTGCTACTTTAATTTTAATTAAACTTTAGAGCTATCTCATCTTCAAGATTAACACAATGTGGTAACACACATTTTACATACACACAGGAGAGATTTGTAATGTTACAACATATATCACACAACATCTACCACCGTTACTATCGTCGGCTTGTTGTTAGTTTTCTAAGATACGTTTCAACTATTACCCGGAAAATAAACTTTAAATGTTACAGTATTACATAGCAGTTGGCAAATATAATATCAGCGATTTTATATTTTCTTCGCCAGAAAAACGGAATAATAAATAAACAAAATAGGTAAGCTACCACCAGAAGGAATATCTTGTTTTAGGCGTTTTGGAAAATCTCCTAATTTGAAAACGAAGTTATAGTGTCTGTGTCCAATTAATGCTCTGCCTCATGTGTGTCTCATGTGGACTATTACTCAGGGCGTCATTTCTGCAATGAATTATGGGTAACGACACTAACGCATCTAATTTCATTTTTGTTTTCAGAAATTTGTATTTAGTACGACGAACATATTTAAGGTGGCGATGGAATGAAACTGACATTTCACCAAGTTGCAATGGGGCTTAAAAGTATGGAGGCCAATATGCCGTGAAAAGCCCGAAGATTGAAGACATGCGCTCTGTACAATAAAAGTCGCCAGACACGCCGTTAAAGTGAGGTGTAAATTCGTTTACGTCTCACGGGACCCTTATTAATTGAACACGACGCGTCGACGGCCACCGCCCTTTAACACTACAATATGACACTGTGTTCACCTGACTGTTAATGCCGCCACCCTAACGCGTTGAAAGTGCTAGGAAAACAAGGTTGAATAGTTTGCAATGTGGGCTCTTGAAGACATCAGCAACGATTACCGGCGTTGATGGTATGAGATGTTGCCACCAGGCGTTTTTAAAGCGATCTTTTCACCTGTTGATTCGCTTTGAAAAGAGTGTAGCACACACGGAAGAATTGCTTAATCCTATCTCAACAATCACTTTTGAAGAAGTCATCATTTGCTGCTGTTTTCTAATTACGTTTCTGTTCGCCCAATTGCACCGGCACAATGGCGGAGTCTTACGTGTCTTTATACAACAAGTTTTTTCCCAGGCAGGCTTCATGGTCGTTACTACACATGTCGCTTCTCTCTTTCTAGTTTTCTGGTATGCGTACCCGAGAACCGATAAACATTCTAAGCAGGCCATACGAGTAGCAAAAGTATAAAGTACGGTTTCCAGGAGCTACTGTAACATTACATGGCCAATTCTTAATAATTATTATTGGTACGAATTGCGACGGCTGTCACGACACACTGTGGGGGGGGGGGGTGATTATTGGACGCCTCCTCACTCGCAAACACCTGGCTCTAACTGAACCGTGGAGACTGTGTCGGGTCGTCGGTGGTGATGGGGAATGAGAAGAGGCAGTCATCTGCTCGATGATGGGTGTGTCACGTGACCGGAGGGGCTGGAATTGATCTATGCTGTTCACTGGAGCGTGCAATTGTGCGTTGAATGCGGGGTGAAGCTGAGCTGGGGGTATGATTGTTGAACATGTTTGTTTCTAAATACGGTAAAAGCCAACAAGTGTTTGCTGTTCATCCTACTAACAGCGTAGTTCGATTTGTAAACAGCGGCTCTGTGCAGAATAAACATGATCGTGAAAGGGAACATTACACTCGCACTGTATTCAACAAAGCAACAGCCATGAATGTTTGTATTTGTATGCGGGTGGATACAGAATAGAATTAGGGTCGTAAAATTACGAATGCATAGCAGCGATCTTTGGCCACTCTCAAATTGAATGGTCGATGAACGATCATTGCGGCCATGTGAGATGGGGGCTTATTAGCTCGTTGTCCCGATTGAAAACAACGATCCTTAAATAGTCTTGTCTGATTTCTATTTAACATATATAAGGATTCTACAGGAACGGGATATGCGACCTTTGGAATAAGTGGTTTATTCTAGACGTAGTTCAGATGTAGTGAATAATATATGACTTTATCATGATTGACTGACAAACCTGGTATAATTTATTTTAACTGAATTCCTGCATATTTTCACAAAAAAAACATGCACTAGTGTAATTAATTCCCAAGTATTTTTTAGCACATCGTTGATTCCCGGTGTAGTAACCAGTAGCGCACTTCGGTGAAGATTTAAAAGTATATTCGTTATATATTTGGATTGGTTGTAACGGTAAACTGAGCCGCTTCTTAAAAGAACGTGTAAACACTGTGTTCGGTACAATCACACTGGGCCACAATTGTTAAATTATGCGTTTTACGTCCCATGCTTTCAGACTTCGATGACGAAAACACGGTGTCACGGTGAATATTTTCTCAAAACTAGGTCAAGTACGCTGCAGGTAATATACCGACAAAAGAGTCAACCCCGATCAGGTTTTCAAATCTTTGTAAAATGAGACTGGAAACCACAATGATTCGACAATTGTTCATTTACACGAATCATATAAGGGGGAATATAAAAGCCTCCTCAATGTGTAATGACAAATAGAATTTTAAACTTGGAGTTCAGAACTCAAGTCATAATCATAGATATGTTAGGCTGGGTGAGTAAGAAAACGTACGACTAGTACGCTATTGCGCATGCACCTGTATACTACATACAATGCATCTACATACAATTTATACATACCATAAATTAAATGTCAATATCAAAGCGTCACAACAGCGAGACGACCAATCGGATTACCAGGCTTTGAAATACGCTCTGTTGCAGTCGAATACTGCTCGGTTACCATATCGCATGTATTTTTGCAGTGTCGCATATCAGGGTAATATTACCCCCAATCCTAATCCGTCGTCGGCGCGCTACACGTGGCCAAGTAGAATGGGACCTTGTTCATACGAGTATAGTGCAGTCAAGATAATGCAAGTGTGTCTCAGCATTTTCCGTCCGTCCGTTTTTTCTGAATAAAAACTTAATTTGTACAGTTCTCAGTGTTACCTTGCGAACTAAAGTACTATATACCATTTTGGTTGTATTTTTTAGTATCGTTTTACCGTAAGCTACGTCATATCGGTTGATAGACTGCTCTGAGAGTGGGCCCGTAATACTGAGTGAAAGCGTGGGCATATTGGTTATTGGCGAATCGAGACTGTGTTAATCGGTTGTTGTTTCAGGCAATGCCAACAGATAGAGTTTCATGAACATAGTACATCGATCTCAACTAACTTTGCATTTCAATCAGCGCGGCCACCAAGTTGAATTTAGTCCTGTTAGTGGTTATACGGAAAATTGAACTACACTATTAGTTCGCCCCCTCATCCATACAATGAAGTGACCAACCCCCTCAAAGTTTTCTTTATTGTGTGGGAAGTATCGACAGAAACAGGTCGGTGAAGGTTCCCATATAAAGAAGGACAGCTTGTTCTGTTTTCGCAGTTTTCAGTGTTTGCAGACACACATACTTGAGTTTCGTTCCCCGGTGAAAAAACACAATAGGCCAACCCATACCGTGTGAACACGCTACGGTGACATTTCAAAGAAGGAAACGAAAGCTAACGTCAGTTATTTCGGTGATGTGATATGCTGTAAATTATGTTCCGTTGACAATGGTTGTAGTTAGAGGGGTATGAAAGGAAACACCTGGCAAGGCGCGGCGCAGTATTATGAAGCTTTCCAACAGTGCGCCCTCTAGCAATTTCCCTGAATGACCGACTGAATGACAGAATACGCAGAATTGGAAAAAAATAAGTCGACACTGTAGAAAGATGAATATTTACTGGATGTAATTTTAGTGGAGTTTATGACGCAGATCGGATATTCAAAGGGATTTATATTCATTGATTTGTGAAGGAACACTCGCTGAAGATGAGTTGTGGATTCCGACTATGTTGGAACCATTTTCAGCATACACACAGACCTGGAAGTACACATGTATCATTGCGAGGAAAGTACCCGAAAAAGTTTGTGTCACAGTACTCTTCAATACTCGGTAGACGTGGAAGTGTATACCAGACCCTTATCTCCCCGAGCATTTGAGTAATGAATTGGCCAGACAATATACAGTCAAACCTGTGTGTAGTCATCTTCATATGCAGAAACTGTTCTCATTGCGATCACCATTGGGCAGTCTTAATGCAAATTACAAGTCTCAAGCCTCTATATAAACGTTACTTGTCTAATTTGACTTGCAACCGTTTTTGGGTTCTGGTTTGGTGTTATGACCATCTGTCTACACAGATTTGATTGAATGGAAAATCATTTAACAAGATTTCAAATGCAGTCAACCCGGGTGTTTCAAAATCCACAGCTTACATAGTAGTTTAGACCGTAGAACAGGTGGTTCCACGGGGTGTCACAATCATGTCATACAGCACATTGAATTGCACAAGAAAACTAAGGCCAGACTTTTATTATCCCTTGTTTCGCGAACCCGCCGAATGAACAGGAGCCGAAAATGAAATAAAAATAAAATTTTATTTCAGCGTAATTTCTCGCGCCCGCCGACTTGTAAGTGCAAAAAATTGCTAAAAAAACTTTTTTTTTCGCCCGCCGCATAACAAACCCAAGTTGCATTTTCGTGGGAGTATCATGATCAAAGTACCAAACTTTGTGCTTGTTTCTCATCTGCCTTGAGTGCACAATCATAATTTCTTTGTTAATATCAGATGAGAAACAAGATGAGAAACAAGGTTATACATGGAATAAAAAATTATTTCATTTCTTCTCTCCGATCAATGATCTCACTTACAATTCTTTGAGAATCACACAAATCTAATGGAAAAAAAGAATTAATTTTATTTTCTTTCCGCCCTCAAAAAAATTGCCTTATAAAAACTCGAGAAACAACTTGAGGAATAAAAAAAGTCTGGCCTAAACGGACATATATTTGAAAGAAATTCAAACTAAGTTTTATATCAACAAAATACGTGGACACGTTTTCAAGTATTGAGACTATATACCGAAAAAAAAAGAATATTGCAAGTGTCGCTACACAATCATGTGCGACCAAAACAAAGATTGGACACAAGATTTCAAAGAAACTTTGTTAAACTACAATATTCAACAATTGCACTGATTTGACGAATCATCGATAATCAGCACATTGTGTCTGCTGTCACGCCGAGGGAAGGCAAGATGCCGCCGAAATCCATGCCATGCAAGTAACACAGAACCTGTTGTCAAGTGTATCCGGGATTGACGGTCCCCCCAAATAGTTAAAAATGTTTCTCGGTGAAGCACCCGGTGCTCTCGATTTTTGGTAGAGGGAGATCGCGATGTTATGGACAACTGGATATTCAACCATTACCACTTTGTTTAGCCTGTCCTGTTTTACAGACGTTGATCATCTAAGCACGCTGTCACGCAAGGTTTAATTTATCTACGGATTTGACTGTTTCAAAACTCGGATAACAATCACGGCAATTTTTATAAATTCGCTAGTACTAGTAAGTAATAAACCAACTTTAGAAGTACATGAACATCTGAGACAAGATTTTGTTCAAAGTGTTACTGTAGTGACTAAAAAAAGTCTGAGGGTTTGACTACGCCAAAGTTTATCTAAACATATTTATATGCAAAACGGGTGTGGGGGCTTTAAATACAAAAAGTATGAGTAAACCCCAGTCTCAAATCAGTATATATTTAGGTTAGATGTTCGCACTTTTGATGTCATTTAACGAAATTCGTAATACGTAAGGGGGGGGGGGGGGCGAATACACCTCGATAGGCAGCGCGTCTCAAAATGACCGCTGTTTGAACTCTGAGCCCAAACTGTGAGTTATCTTATTAACACCTGACAGTGAAACTTTATCAAAGTTTCGTCATTTATGTCACGTGATCTGTATACAAATCCTTGACTTGAAAACAAGTCACTCAAAATAACAGCGTTATATAAAGTCCTGCAATGAAACATTCTGATACGGCGGGTTTTAATCATTTCACAGTGTATGGATTTCCATATAATTCTTAAATGTGCCTCATTTCACCACTGAGGGCGCACACACACATATACAATATACTTTCTCGTTCTTCACAATTAGAAAGCATCTCGTATAGCTGTGTAAACGTCACATCTCCCTAGCCGACGTCAATTGCGTACAAGTCTACAACAATCCCTACGTTTTTCCTCTGAACTTTTATGCGCACGTATTTTGGTGTCGGTGGTTGCCATGTTGGAATTTCCGGCAACGCAATACGCATGTGCAGAAGATTATTTACGAACAAAATTTGCACGTTTTGAGGTAGTCCAAAACGAGTTTTACGACAAGCCGGCGCTTTGCGACAATACGAGTCGGCATGTTCCGAACAGAAAACCGATCTGTGGAGACTCGTCGTTGGAGATTTTGTTGTTGTTGAGAACAGGCGAAAACTAATGCGCGCGAGGATGTCATCCATAAACTTAAGTCGGTGTGGCCTATGAAGAAAAATTGTGTAATTTATATTTGAAGCAGTCGCAATTCAATATACAGTATTTTCTCTATTAGTAGAACATGCACTTAAAAACGACGAATATTGGTGATACGCTTCTGAGATTGCTAACAGATCAACTGGTGCCAGACAGGGATCTTGTATGCTGTTTCAGAATAAAGTTAAAATGGACACCGGGTAAAACATACGAAAATAGACACGTGAAATATATCAAGACAAAAATCAGAATTATACAGCATACAGGGATACCATGCTACGTGAACATAGACATAAAATGTGATCCCATATCTGGGTGTGCTCTGAGCAGCAGACTAATGAGCTAATGAGTAAAGGATAGACAAACAAACAAACAAACAAACTTTACACCATCTTATATTACTTTATGTCATTTTTTTATTCTGGGATCTTCATAGAACACCATAAAAGATAAACTTGTGATACATTGTACCAATATTACAGGTGATGATGTATTGGGACAGGATGTAACTTTCAAACACAGAGGGAGGGGGTCATATGCTGCAACTCTGGATATATTTTTTATAACTGTGGAGTACAATAAATAATTATATAAAAACATACTTTAGTATCACGTTTTCATACATAACTACGGTGTTGTTTATAAGCCACAATGTTAAATTTGGCAAAGTCGGTGTTTTCTATGACCCCCATTATTATTTTGTCTGTCAAGATGGTTGACAATTCATTTTTTTACAACCAAGCAAAATGGTGGCAACCCCCCTGTGCAAAGATCCATAGTGACTCTGTGTTGTTATATAGAATCTATCTACTTTTAGGTACGTACCTAAAATTAATTTACATGTTAGAGATGTCAGCACACACGTTTCACACAGATTAGACATGTTACAAATCTAAATGTTTTTGGAAAAAAAAAAAATCACTTTAACAAAATAATCATTGAGTTGCAGCATATGTCCCTTTAAGTGATGTGTATAATATGCAAGTCCAATAATCAGGATTGTTTGCAAGCTTCAAACTCGTGGAGACATCACTATCATGGCAGAGCGCCCTCTAGAGACAAAAGTCACAGATTTTATGGCCAGTTTGTGTAGTACATAATGAATGACATAATTCCAAATGCTGGCTCCTTGTTAGTATCCGGCGCCAAGTTCTGGCGTTCCCCATTGTGGTATCTGTAACAGAAGAAGAGAATTCAATTAATTGAACATTTCCCTCTTGAGGGGCATATACAACTGTATACAAATTTCTGATTTAATACTAAAGGTCTAAGGTCACGTTGATAGATTTTATTTATATATATTCACAATTATTTGTGAAGGGAACAATACATTTATATTGTTACCTTCACTGGGTTTTAATTAAGCATTTTAGTTGTCAGTAAAATGAACAAACATAAAAACTCAGTCATTAATTAAGTTTTACAATGTGATATACAATATAAAAATCTCGCTCAAACTGAAATCGTAAAATGATCACAGAATCGCATGAATAAATTTTAACGCAAATTATTGAGACTGTGAAAGAAATGAATAAGATTGTTTTTAGTAATGATAAAAAAAAGCATGCAATACATGCAATTTTGCGTTTTCAAATGCAGAAACATATCTCGCTTATTTTTGTTTATGCAAGCAAACCTATTCTAAACATCCACTGTGTTCTGTATCACCAATGGGAAGAGATACGTTTGATTGACATGTAGAATGAAATCGCTATCACTGTACTTGGTTATTTTTGTTGCATAAATCCTTGGTTTGACACAGTAATCTGCTGATGTAATCACTACTCACCCCCGCTGCAGTTTGTTGTTTTGCTGCTTCCCTCTTCTCAATATTCATGGCCATATTTATACTTTTAAAGGACAATCCTTTTGTTTTTTCGATGACTTGTTGGTATGGCGATACCGCTTGCGTACCCATCACTACATGGCCCTGTAATAAACAATACATCAGTTACCTATATGGTTGTGGAGTTGTTGGAAAAATGACCTGTGACTGACACTTTTGAACACAGTAACATGAGTGATTAGTGGAGATATGCTTTTACAAACTTTTCAAAATGGTATGAATTGGGAGTGTGATAAGTGCTGGAAGCAGGGTTAAAGCCAGAAAAGTACTTGTCTAAAAACTTTATCAAAATGGTATGAATTGGGAGTGTGATAAGTGCTGGAAGCAGGGTTAAAGCCAGAAAAGTACTTGTCTAAAAACTTTATCAAAATGGTATGAATTGGGAGTGTGATAAGTGCTGGAAGCAGGGTTAAAGCCAGAAAAGTGCTTGTCTAAAAACTTTATCAAAATGAAAAACAACAGTTGCTAGTCTGCAGCCATAGACTTATAGTTTATTTTTTGTTGATTATTTGTTGATTATTTATTGTTATTTTGTAATTTTTAATGAAAATTGGATAGATTTGTAAATACTTTGCCTGTCTAAAATGACAGGTGGACAGGCGGCTGACTAAAAGCCCGATGGGGAGCAATCACTCTTATTAGAAATCAGGGATTTTTTTAAACATGGGAACAGGGGCGCAGTGACCTCATGTCATGGCCATGTGCCCCCTTACTCTGAGGAACAGATTCTCTGGCTACCATAAAATTCTGAATGACCAGGGATCACATGTGGCCACAGTCTTCAACTGTGACCTGCCTGATAGTAATTTTGGCCCCAAGGAAGTCATAGAATGCTCCATTTTAACTTAAAATTATCAAAAACTCCACACCCTGGTAGAAAGAACCCTATCTCCCGCACTTGGTGGTGCTCCTGAATTACAGTGCTCTCTCTTGCAGTTTTTTTCTAGAAAAACCCCTGGGAAAGTAATGTTTTCAAATCCGAGACGAGTTGACTCTGGGAAAATATGCCAGAGATTCATTCATTTATGACAGGGAAAGCCATAATTCGCAGGTACTTGAGTTCAACCACACAAACGTGGAATATAATGCATGTGGCAAACAAGATAATCTGTGTGTATCAGTAGCATGTGCAATTAGCAGGTAAGGAATTCAGAAGAAACAACAACATATTTCAACATTGACTGCCTATACATGTGTCTAAACTAGAGGAAATTTATGATATAAATAGAAAGGGAAATGTTATTGTTAATTTTAAATCAACCATTTTTTTTGTCTATGGAAGCTACACATGTCTTATTCCTGTCACATTCCTGTCAGGTCATTTTTTTATATTTTTGCCAACAAGCATACGAATGTCTGATAAAAAAAAAAATGCTGTACACTGATCAGCACTAGTTCATGATCTACTGTGACAACATTGCCCATGAGTTGTTTTATCAACAGAGAGCAATACATGTAATAATTAGTAACACCAGCAGCAAACATTGCCATTATTTTATCTTTGGCTGCATACAACAGAATTTTATCTAACCAGTCTCTGGGCATACATATGCACATCAAACATAAACCAGTGTGGCATCCTATGTAAGGATAGTGGTGAACACTCACCTGTTTGGAATCTATCTTTGCATCTAGCCTGGCATTTCTAATCAAATTCACAATCCATTTCTCAGCTTCGTCGGGACTCATGTTCAATTTCTCAGCTAACATACTTGAAAATAGAAAGAAAATAGAAATAAATCAATATCATTCTTATTTTTTGATCAACTCTGAATGAATACAAAATGCAAAAAAACCCAGAATACTATTTTTTATTAATAATGCAAAACTTAATTTCTATCCCTGTTTTTTTTTAAAACTATCCAACTGTCAATATTCAAGTAAGAAGTACAAAAAGTAGGAAGTACAGTCGAGTCTGCATACAGCAACCACCCCAGGGACTTTATTTAGGTGGTCTTTATGGAGACAGGTGATCTTTATATGGGGCTTTGGTTATTTTTTTATGGATCACCAACTCATACATTTGATATAATATAATGAGATTATACTGTTGTAACAAAAACACATTTATTTGAGTTGATCAAAATTTATTAAGTTTGGCTTGAGAAAAAAAAAATTGTATTATTAAATTATTATTGTCTATAAACAGAGGCAAATCTGCAAAAAATATTGCTGAGTGGTTACAAAAGACAAGGTGGTCTTTATTACACATGTTTCTCACGTATGCCATGAAACTACCTATAAGTGGTCACTATAGACAGGAAGTTTTTATATAGGTGTGGTCACTATAGGCAGGAGATCCTTATATAGAGGTGGTCACTATAGGCAGGAGATCCTTATATAGAGGTGGTCACTATACACTTACTTTATGCTAATACACTGGTGAATTCGGCAAAATGTCTCAAATATAAATAACCTGGCATTCTCAATAAAATCGTCCAAACACGCAACCAGGAAGAAATCATTCACTAAAACCTGTAAAACAGAAAGCAGTGATGAAAGACAATGATGAGATAACATCATAACATTCATTGGTTTATGGGACTATTACTCATTGGGGTGATGCCAATGTAGTGAAAGTATTGAAACAGGAACATGTCAAATACAAATATGACTTGCCTATTCACAGTCCCAAGAATAGAAATGGCATTTGGATGCTATATTAACAATTCACATATACAAATTTAATTAAAGATGAGTTCACTGGGTAGGTTCCCTGGTCGCTACATTAATCGGTGCACTAAAAATGTAATGTTTCCTTTACAAACCAATTCAAAACCTATGCGTGCAACATCAAATCCTTTAAGATTGAAAAAAACATGTAGACGTTCAGGATTACAATTCAGTTTATCTGTAGTACAGGAATACACCATCAGCATAGTGTAGTGTAGTACAAGATGAAACACCAAAAACAAACTTACTGTCTCGCATTCTCTTAGTTTCTGCTGGGCTCCATCAAAGTCAAAATTGACGTAGAGACACTCTAGGAATTCTGTGATGGGATCTCTGTATGTGTAGGATTCCTGCTGTATGACTTTAACAAGGTCTTTTAAGACGGTTCGTCGTCTCTTATTTGTGATCACCGCTGTGGTCAAGTACCGCAGTATGTGTGGACATAAAGTCTGTATAGCATTAAGATATCTATAAAAAAATAATATCAGTACGAGTTTCTGACTATTTCTGACTGTTATGACACTATGCTCCATCAACAATCAAGATGAATTACTGTAAAATCTGTATTAGAAGAGCAGCTTTTAATACAATGGTACAAAGCAACAGAATTATTTTCAATTGGACCATCTAAACATACGAAGATTTTGATTCTGTATGAGAAAGGGTGTGCGATTTTCAGCTTGTGCCAACTATTCACTGATTTCCCTTGTTCCCAATAAGCTAATGTTTATGCAGCGAAATCAAATGTTTTTACATCAGAGCATACAAGTTTTTATGGTAACGAAGGAACTCGAAAATTGTCTATTGGGGCGATCATGAAATATCACACGCAAATGAAATAGACAAAAAACAGAAAGCGTGTCATCTTGGTATCCATACCCATGTTCCAGATAAGTATTACTTACGGGGGTTGATAAAGAAACAGATCAATGATAGCATCTCTTCCTTTAGGGTGGTTGAAAAACACAAACAGACTCCAATGGATTAGCCATGTACGCTGCTGTAAACTCTGTAAGGGAGTGACAAATGCCTGCAAAAGATAATATAAGGCAACCTTACGTAAATGAAGTGTTAATACATTTAATATAAATTGATCAATGAGTATTTGGTGAACTTCAATCTCACTCATTGACTGAATGCTACTGAAGGCAATTTATTGGCAGCTTATTATCAATACATCAAAAACTGTTGTACACTACACAATCATAATTGCTCATTCGTAGCACTCACTACAAATACTATGAACAATATAGTGATGCCACCGACTCATTAAATGTGTTATAAAACAAACTTTTGTCCTCCATACAGACGTATCCGGCCAGGAACACCACCTGTTTTTTTCGCAGAAAATCAAAACATCAAGCAAATACTTGTTTTATTTTAGTTTACTGATTGCTAAATGTTATTAACACCACTAGGCACAACATATCTGAACATCCCTAATCAGTCAACTACTTGTCTCGCTAGTTTGCAACATCAACAACATCACCTTCACTGAACGGTTAGATTACAAGTGACTGCAAAACATGTACATAACACACACATAGATACTACAGCTGGTGAATCAATGCACCACTCATTGTGAATAATATTTAATTTTTGTGTGACGAAATGCACAAAACTTGAACACGAATGTAACATTAAATATGTGTTGATATTGATCTTTCAATCTTTTTATTTTATATTATATATATCTTCAAAAACATACATGGATGCTGAATTACAACAAACAATGACAGTATATGTACTTTGAGAAGAGGGACTAATTGCACCTCCATGTTCAATTGTTATACTGTAGAATACTTTATTTTCGCTTGGAATTTATTTTCGCTGAAGGGATGATTCCGTGAAAATAAAATCCAGTGAATATACTTTTTTTCCTATATTTCACATTAAACTTATCAAAAATCAGTGAAAATAAATTCCATACAAAACGAAAATTAATTCCAGCGAAAATAAAGTATTCCACAGTATTCTAACATAATTTTCTGTGTTTTTTTTCACCTACATGTATGACAATTGCATACAGCACACAAATTGGATTAGCAATATATGTCCAGGCATAGTAATTTATAAACACATGATGAAATTATTTGGCTATTTATTGATGGAAATGGATTGCCTGGCGCACCAAAACTACGTCACTTTCGTTTAACTGATTTTAGAGGTACTCAGCTGTAACACTCAATAAATATTCAGAATTACCAATCTATTTGGTTTTTTTACCTAGTGAATATTCTTCTAACATCAAATTCAATGAAATTCAACACAGTGAAAACTTTTTCTTATACGCTAATACATCTGTACATCATTTTGTAGTGAATACTTACATTGGAATCAATAACGTCTTTTAATCTGTTAAGATCTTCTAACGCTGCTTCCCAATTTTGCATCAGTATTTCCGACGCCAACTTGCCCCATAATGAACTCAATGCATTCTTATCATTGGGAAGAACCTTTGTTGAAAATAAATAAAAATGTGCAAAGAATGATGCACTAAAAATTTTTTGTGAAAAATTCATGGAATTCAACAAGCTAAAGTACAATAGAGTAATATGAGCAATAATTTTAGAGATGTTTTACACCACTCACCAACACTCTGTGGAAATATAGATACTCAGCAGCCCCAGAATAATTCCCACACTCGTATTGAAATTTGGCATATCTATACAACGTGTCTAACATCTCTGGTACAAACTGAAAAAAAAAAAAAGAACATGTCAATATGCTGAACAAATCAAAGGATTCTATGCACTTACATAGACCATATACAGTGAACCCTGTCACCATAGACAGGGATCACCTCAAGATAATAACATAATGCCATTGCTAAAATGCACAAGTCTAGAATATGGTAATCACTATGGTATTCACTGTTATGCTATGCTATAATGTTTATCAAAAATGAAGGCATGTAATTCACAAGTAGATTTGTGGTTAGGTAATATGCTATACACATTTGAAGATGGTCAATTTTGACTGAGTAAAGACATCTCAATGCCATTTTTTTCTTCTGAAAGATTGTAATTTTGAGATTAAGCATTAATAAACAAATAAATTCAAATCAAATCAAATAACTAAATTTTTACAACAGACATTTGGGTCTTACCTTCCACACAATGCAATACAGTGAATAAAATATCTGTGGAGAACCCTGCATACAATGCATTTAATAGTAATAAATTAGTTTTGTATTTGATGTAGGACTTCACGCTTCACCAATCAAAGCAGTGTGCAGCCCATGCATGACTTGATACAAACATTTCACTAAATGACAGTATATAACACAATGCCAAGTATGTCCAAAGCAACTGTTTTAACACAGGGACTATGTATACTAGATTACTTACACCATGACTTTTTGCAAGATAATCAAATAACTGTCTCCCATCTCTTGTATTCTGCACTTGAGTGTTCACTTCGGGGTCATCAAATATCTTTACAATTGGTTCTGTTTCACCTTGCAACTTTTTCAACTCTGACACAACTTCTTGCCTTTTATCTCTCAGCTCTATAACACACAAAATACAAAACCCATGTCAGTTGAGAAACCTCAGATGAACATTAAAAACAATTATTGCTGAATTCTTTTTTTTTAACTTGAGTAATAAAATGGCATGGCTCTGATTTGATGAGCAAACTTTCTCTACAATTGTCATGTTTTCTTTCTTTACTTGCAGTGATAATAACTGAATCTCACTTCTCAATCACCGACACAGAATTTGATTTTCAGGGCTTCACATACAATGATGTAATGAAGATAAAACGAATGAACTAGTAAAGTGAAGTACAAGTACTTTGGCGTAAAGCTGTCTAGCATATTTGGGAATAAAGGCCAAGACGAATTACGTGCACTAGGCAATATTTTTAACCACTTTGGTGGGCCACCTCCAGGACCAACTCACCATATCGAAGGACATGAAAAGAAACTTGATTATTTCAGCAAATATTTAATCCAGGACTTATTGCATCAATGACCCAACTAATTGCTCTTCAAAACGTGGATACCGACAAAGACCATAGGAATAGCAGGAACTATTGGAGCCTGTCGCTCTGCTCAAAACGAATATGAGGAATACTACTCATATTTGGGCAACATAAATTTTTGGTCATGAGATAAACAATTGCAGAGGGCATTCAGAGGATAGAGCAAGAACGTCACATGTTCACCAGCACTATGAGAATGATATGCACCCTTTGGATAATTCATGGAATTAATGTAAACTTTGACGTGAGATATTGTTTTACAACACTTGATGAATTCTGTACAATTTGCTGATTGGCTATTTCTACCTAGCTAGGGGTACTTGCAGATTGGTTATTTCTACTTATCTAGGAGTACTTGCAGATTGGTTATTTCTACTTACGTAGGGGCACTTCTATTTCCGGATGAAGATTTTTGTAGACATCCATGGCAAAATCGACCTAAATTGTAAATATAAAAAAAGTTGTCAGCAACTAGTATTATCTGCTATTATCTTGTAATGCATCCATACCCAACAAAGGCCAGGTTGAGACCACGTGCATTCTACCATATTATGCAACATTTTATAGCAGACAGGACGTTATTTTCAGTTTACGACAACACATATATACACACTTACCATATTTGTTTCACTGAGCAGGTCAAGCTTTCCTTGCAGCATTTCCTGTTCCTCATAAATCTGTAACAAAACAATACATTTGAAATTAACCTTTTGAGCAACAAATAAACTTTAGACAACATCATGACTTTTTACACCGAAAATTTCAAGAGATTTTGTTCATCTGACCCAAAATTAAAAAATAAATGAATGCATACATACATAAAAATAGAACAAGCAGCCTGTCGGCTGAGATAGCTCCGCTGTTAGCAATGCACATGGCAATTAAAGAACAGAAGATATCATTAGAAAATGAACAAATCTGAGAGAGGTCCACATGTAGTACCTATATGTATAATATATCAAAGCAATTGGACTTGCGGTTTTCAACAAGAAGTCGAAAATATCACTTTTTACCAAAAATTACAAAAATATTCATCAAAATTAGAGAATTAAAGATATCATTATGAAATGAACAAATCTGAGAGAGGTCCACATGTAGTACCTATATATGTAATATCAAAGCAATTGGACTTGCGGTTTTCAACAAGAAGTCGAAAATATCACTTTTTACCAAAAATTACAAAAATATTCACCGAAATTAGAGAATTAAAGATATCATTACAAAATGAACAAATCTGAGAGAGGTCCACATGTAGTACCTATATATGTAATATCAAAGCAATTGGACTTGCGGTTTTCAACAAGAAGTCGAAAATATCACTTTTTACCAAAAATATTACAAAAATATTCACCAAAATTAGAGAATTGAAGATATCATTACAAAATGAACAAATCTGAGAGAGGTCGACATGTAGTACCTATATATCTAATATCAAAGCAATTGGACTTGCGGTTTTCAACAAGAAGTCGAAAATATCACTTTTTACCAAAAATGACAAAATATTCACCAAAATTAGAGAATTAAAGATATCATTACAAATGAACAAATCTGAGAGAGGTCTACCCAAGGTACATATACACCAAGTATCAAAGCATTCAGGCTTGTAGTTTTCAAGAAGAAGTCGAAAAAGTAAAACATTGACACGGACGACGACGACGGACGACGACGGACAATCACTCATATGATAAGCTCCGCTCGACAAAGTCGACAGCGGAGCTAAAAAATGATGCACAAAAGCTTTGAGAAAATTATGGCGATCAATTTGACAACTGAATAGTGACTCACTTACAGAAACGGACGAGACTATAGTGATTATAACATTCATTTCGAAAAGTGAGTTTAAAAGTTAATCATAACATGCATCAGTGTACCCAAGCAAAAAATATACTTACCGTAGTTCTAATAGGTATCTCTTAATCCTACACACCAACCTACATCATGCTATGAAATGGTGAGATTTGATTGACATGCTATGACAAGAAAACAATTTTGTTTATGATAACCCTGCCTACCCATATTTTTAGTGAAACAAAAACATATTTTATATAAATTAAAATTCTATTTTATTTTGTATGCAAATTAGCCAATTTCCATTTTATTTGTGATGCAAATTCGCCATAATTGAGCCAACAAATTATGATTCTGTTCATTTACTTCCTTTGATGTACTGGAGTGAATGACCAGGACACATCTATAAGAAAATCAACTAAATATGAAATTTGTTTGTATATTTTGTTCTGTTTGATGTTTGTTGGATGCATTTTTATCACATGACATTATGTGTTACAACATGTCAATCATTTTTGGGGTGTTGAATCTGTTTCAGCTGTGCTGGTCATTTATGCTAGTGTATTGGGCTATGTGTAGAGACATTCTTGATCAACACAACAGGACTATACGTAGGGGGTACAGGGATGAGAATGAGAATTTTCAGCTGAAAGTAAAGTCGCCGAGGTCCGAGAACTGTAGTTGATCAAATCGTTACAATACAGACACTGCGCCTTTCAAGGGACCTCGCACTTGCCGATGAAGTCACTCAATTTTTCAGTTACCACTTCATCTTTCTTCTCGATTCGCACGGTCAAAGTCACTTTCTTGTCAAGCTATGCCCTATGAAATTTGTTCCTAATGTCTTTATCGATCTTTCGCACAGCTGACTGGTTGTCTTTTGTAACCAATTTCACCATTAACGCTGCATAAAACTTGTACAACGATTCAACGCAGCTAACAATTGAAACAATAAAATGGCGCCGCTGGTAAAAAGAAAAATGAAAGCTCTTCACTGATTTGCCCGTCAGAACACACCCAGCCAATCATGTTAATCGTTACATATTACTTTGAACACTTCGGATTTCACGATTGCACTGATGAAAAGAGTTGTGAGTATTCCGCATTTGAGACACCGCGAGTTGTCTACCCTTGACCATACACTGATACACGTCTCTTGCAGCTGACAACAATGACCCGAGAGCGTGTTTACTTCCAGTGAATGATTTGTATTCTTACCCCCCTAAAATTTTCTTTTTGGATTTAGATGTTTCAGAAAATCGATCCCTGGGGCTTAGAAATCCGCGGATCCGCTGAAAAATCTCACCCATGAGGGGTAACATTTCCCATGATGCACTGGGGCAAACACAGGGATTGCATAGCCACGTTATCCCTCGCCCTGCTTCTGAATGGTTCACTCCTTATTATAATGTATTTATGACCTAAGTCGGGGTCAAATTAAAAATGTCTCTATAACTCAACAGCATATATAGGATAATTATGCCAGTTAGAGAAATGACGTACTGTCGCCAGCGATAGATTTATTGTATTTTTATTTCAACTAACATCGATAGATTGTCCATATGCATAAAACACATGGAACCAGCAGCACCAATCTGGCAATCACGTGTGACAGCAGAGAACCTATGTAGTAAATACGCTAAATGTGCACATATGTATATTAAAAAAACAACACATTGAGGAGAAAACATGTGATGTATACTTACGGCTTTCACCGACAAAAATTCCAACAAAGGAAAAACCAGATGTCGGTCTAAATATTGGCCAATACGCGAAGTTAAGTCAAATTCCGCCATTTTGAATTGAGCAATTAACCACACTCCCTTGCGACAAGGAAGTGGTAGCGTTCACTTTATGATAGGGGTGGCAATTCAATTATTTTCATTAAACCTGACATAGTTTTACACTTGGTGTAATTTTGTTCATTCTTCAATAATATGCTTTCACTATTTAATGCTTATCTCGGTAATACATCTATATCAGTATTCAAAAACTTAGCAACCCTCTAACCGATAGGACGAAACTAAATTTTTATCTGCGCGGATGATTTTGTGCCAGTGGCCATCTGTGATGTAGGATATTGTCACTGAAGTGAGAAAGGTGGCCTTCTAAGAAACAAGTCTCTATTTTTGTTGGATAAAATACTTGTGTGACATACTTCTGTTTTTCGAGAAAAATTATTTAGCTCAAATTTAGGGGAGTATTTCTTCTGCGCCGTGGTAGTGTCGTTAGTGGTTCGGCTAGGTTCCGTTTAGACTCGGCGACTCCGATCAAAACAAAGTACTACAACCAAAACAAAACTGTTTTCCGAAACATGAGTTGGTGATCTATTAAATTTCTGTCGAACCATGGCTGAGAAGGAGTATAATCGACCTGTGTTGGCGGGCGCACAGACGGACCGTGCGAAGAAAGACAAAAAATCGAAATTAAGAAAAAAATCTGGTAAGCACATTTCATTCTGTGGTGTCTGGTTGTGTTATCGTTTTTTAGTCTGGTGTGTTTTCACTTCAAAATTTAACATTTACCGACATAGCAGTAAAACAAATTAAATTGTCCATGAAGCACAAAAATATCAATATTCAATTCCAAATAAATTCATGCGAACGCTACATGCACATTGGCGTCGTGGTCGCCTGTATCCACGTGATCTTGCCTCGTAGTCGTACATATGTAATACATGTACAATTAATTGAGATTTATTTTTTAAAATCATTCACAAACTAGGTGTAGCATTGTCTTTTTGTGTATATGATTAATTAGAAATTCAGCTACCTGCAATCGTCTGGCCATCTTTTTGTGTGTGATTATACCTGGGTGTACATGTATTGAATTGTTTTTCATTTGTTTTTGTTTATTTTACAGATGTCCAAACCCAGGAGACAGAGGAAAACATTTTAACAGATGTCGATATCCCTCTTGAATGTGCTGTATGCCTGCAAAGCTGTATTCAACCAGTCAAGCTACCATGTGAACACATATTTTGCTTTCTCTGTGTCAAAGGTGTTGCGAATCAGAGCAAACGTTGTGCATTGTGTCGAAAAGAGATCCCAATAGAGTTTCTAAACTGCCCTGTACTGGTAAAGTCTTGCAAAGATGAAATAGAGCCAGAGCCAGAGGTAGAGTTGGAGGAGGGTTATCAGTGGTACTATGAGGGACGCAATGGTTGGTGGCAGTATGATGAACGTGCTAGTGTGGAACTAGAAGACGCATATAAAAGTAAAAATAGATGTATAGAGTTACTTATAGCAGGCTTCTTGTATGTAATTGATTTTGAGAACATGATTCAAATTAGGCGTAATGATCCAACTCGGCGACGAAGAATCAAACGTGATTTGCGTAATGCACCAAAGAAGGGAATCGCAGGAATCAAATATTTCCCATCGGAAAAAAATAGTTCTGATGATCGCCAAGGTGATGGAGATGAGGAGACTGAAGATACCAGTGGCCAAGCACCTAAGGGAAAAAAAGTGCAGAGGAAACCGGGATCCGGTAATGTTGATACTATGGCAACACGTTTTAGTGCAATGACTGTAGGTGAAAATAGAGAAGAAGAAGAAGAAGATTTAGTTTTACTAACTGACGAACAAAATTCATCTGAAAATTCAAGTGGAGACCAGGCACCAGGAGCTGTGGGAGGGTCATACTAATAGTGTACTAAGCCAATCAAGTCATTGGCCAGCATGAGGACATGTGCTTTGCAACGTGATAATGGCACTGTGCTACCACAGGGACTAAGACAGCGGAGATGGTGTATGCTAGTAATACAATGAGTAGGCAAGAATACTTGGTGTCTCAATCAGAGACGCTTCCCGGGTCTGACCAAGACACCAGTACTACTAGATCAGCACAGTATCGGTATGATGGTGATGTTGAGAGCAGTGATGAGGAATACTGCATAATATCTACTGTATTTGTTGATTAGAAGCTCATCTCCAATATACCTTTACTATCAGTGACGAAGTACTTCTGTAACATAGGTGTAAGTTCACAGCAGTATTGTTTTTTTTGGGTCTGTAGTAGACTTGTCTATCTATAAAAAAAATAACTGTAAAATGATGAATTGCTCTACAACCAAACACAGATGTTGCTTTGAACCTTGATTTTATCCATCTACATGTACATAATTTTGACAGAATTGCCTCGTCATTTTAGTTGTATTGGAACCAATCTATGTTGGTTGATTTTATCAGCTTTGACAGTGTATTCACTGCTCACATATATCAATTTTCATTGCTATGTGATGACTTTAAAACACTGGAATTTAAGAATGTCAAGGATCGTCTTTTAACAAAAATCATTTGTTATCAATGACTACCCCAATATCTGCAAAGCTGCGTAACATTGCAATCCAGACTCTGAGGGCACTGAATATCTAAAATTATACTGTAGTTGCTCTATTGGTAGTGTATGTGCTTGAGTAAATAGCGGAGGTGAATCGTATGGTAGAACTAGGTCAGTTAATGATCCAGTATATGATCAAATGCAACTGTTGTCTCACATGCGCTTCTATTGGAGATTCAGATACTACACTTTATTGCTCACTGTATAGAGTATGGCATCCAAGGTGGTGACATACTGCCTCCCTACACTTGCATGTGAGTAGTCCATGCTAAACCCAAGGCATAAACCAAAATACTGTATCTGCTTAACAGTTTTATATTAGAAGCTCATCTCTAATAGAAGCACATATAAACCAAAAAATTGCATTGTTGTGTGGTGAATTATTAAAATATTATTTACTTTGACCATACAAACAGCTCTGCAACTTACGTTAGTGCATGCATGACTGATAGAGCAAGTCGGTATATCTATAATAGTACTATCATTGGTGGAATGTCATATCTGTTAAAAAAGCTTTGCATTATCAGTCTTTAATGTTGATTATTGTACTCCTCCTGCCTACTTATTCACCATGTGTCTATTTTCCAGATATGTGGCTTTCATTTGCATTTACTGTAGTTGCGTCTTTTTAAGTTAATTCAGAGTGAGTGTAGAAACTTTCTCTTGGTCACTTGCCCAATTACATCAAATGAAGTGAATGGTAATTTAAATTTGCATTCTGATTATATTACCATTGATATTTTCAGATTTGTTACTAACAATCATGCTTGGTTACGCCTGCAGTTTGCATATCACTGCTAATCAAAATTTCTCTGGCTATGGTAATTCAAAAACCAATTTTGTGTCAAGAGAATATGAAAAAAAATATACTAGAGTACCCCCGGTACTTTAAATGCATATGGCAGATATTATGCTGAATTACATTTCTGATTTGATGAAAAATTGAAATGAAAACTGTAAGGATTGATGCAGTCTGAGAATAACTTAACATTTAGCTTATTTCTCAAAACTGTCATACATGTATATCTACAGTGTGCAGAGTGATCTGTCTACATGTAAATGTGTCTCAAATTAGTAACATAAGTAAAAACTAAGAACAAAAAGTTAAAATTATTGATACTCACTCAAAGGCAAAGTCAGCTGATAGCCAGCTTGGTATCAGTAGTCAAGTTATGCCCAGACTGTACTGTAGTCTGTATTTCTAATCATGTAGCATACCAATACATGGATAAAACTTTTAGTGTGCAATTTTACTCATTTTGTACATGGATCAGCCTTTCTCCCAATAGTTGTCAACCAAATACGAGAATGGCCAAAAAATAAGGTAAAAGATATTTTGCAATGTTCTGTATTGATTGTAACAGTATATCTCGGCTACAGGTAAAGTCATATTTGTGTTTTCTGTACTACTCTTGTTTGTTAATGTTTGGTCAGTTGGTAGGAATTAAGGTTATTCTGTGTTTTAATATAAATTGAAGAAATTGTATCATTTATAGTCTAGCCAGAATCTAGCCATTCTGATTACACTCAAGAATGGTCTGTTGAATCACTATGTAATGTAATTACCGGTATGTAGTCGGCACAGAATTATGTGTCTTCCCTGATTGACTGTCTCCATGACTTCCGTACATTACCATGGGAACTTGTATGCGCAGACTGACTTGTATGCAAGGCCCGCCCACACCACTTGCCCAGAAATTCTTACGATCATAGACGGCATCTAGTCTAATAGAGTGGTTCTTAGACTTGTTCTAAGACTTGTATGCACTATTATCATTCAGGAAATATTCCACACGAGTCAGTTGTGATCGTGCAATCGTCACTAATGTGATTTCAACTTAACCTTATTCTTTGTGACTTTGTGGAATAATATTCAAAAGTTTTCCTTTGTTTAACAAACACAATATGCACATTTTATCGTCCACAAATTCCTTCTGCAAGTGACATTCATCAAACACCTAATCACTTAAGATGCATTTACAGTATACAATTATGAGTATATGCAATCTGCTTTTAGAACCCAGCTGATTTTTGGATCACCTGGTTATTATTTTATAGAAGCTAATCCTACAGGATTATTCAGTTATTGACATGATGATAAAATGTAGATTATAAATTCCAGTATGTTCTACTTAATCCATTTGTTATTAGTCTTGTATTGTATTGATATGTCTATTTTAGATGCTTTTAATAAAAAAAAATTGTATGTATGAACATGTGTAAACTGTCTTTGTGTAGACAAACTGTGATACTCTCATGTAAATGTTAGAAACGCCATAGGACAGTGTGGGTTTACATCTGTTTTGATCAGAGTAAATTGCACTCTGTTTCAGACAATATTATTTAACTCTGACCAAAACTGGGTTTGTATCTGAACTTGCACTGTCAAATATAGATTTCAAACATGCATCAAGATAAAAGATAATTTAAAGCTTCAGCTTGGCTGTTTAAAGACTGTAAACCCCACACCTGGCTGTACGAAGACTGTAAACCCCACACTTGGCTGTATGGAGATTAAACCCCACAATTGGCTGCATGAAGACTGTGAACCCCATACTTGGCGGTATTAAGACTGTAAACCCCACACCTGGCTGTACGGAGATTGTAAACCCCACATTTGGCTGTATGAAGACTGTAAACCCCACACTTGGCTGTATGGAGATTAAACCCCACAATTGGCTGCATGAAGACTGTGAACTCCATACTTGGCGGTATGAAGACTAAACCCCACACTTGGCTGTATTAAGACTGTAAACCCTAAACTTGGCTGTATGGAGATTAAACCCTACAATTGTCTGTATAAAGGTTGTAAACCCCAAACTTAGCTGTATGAAGACTGTAAACCCCATACTTGGCTGTATGAAGACTGTAAACCCCACACTTGGCTGTATTGAGACTGTAACCCCTACACTTGGCTGTATGGAGATTAAACCCCACCATTCGCCGTATGAAGGTTGTAAAACCCAAACTTGGCTGTATGAAAACTGTAAACCCCACACTTGGCTGTATAAAGACTGTAAACCCCACACTTGGCTGTATGGAGACTAAACCCCAAATTTGGCTGTTTGAAGACTGTAAACCCCACACTTGGCTGTTTGAAGACAGTAACTCCCACACTTGGCTGTACACAGATTGTAAACCCCACACTTGGCTGTATGAAGACTGTAAACCCCACACTTTGCTTTATGGAGATAAAACCCCACACCTGTATGAAGACTGTAAACCCCACACTTTGCTGTATGCAGATTACCAGGTAACACTTTGTTGTGTAAAGACTGTAAACTTAGATGTAAGGAGTCTGTAAACCCCACACGTGTAGTGTTAAGTCTGTAAACCCCACACTTGTAGTGTTGAATCTGTAAACCCCACACTTGTAGTGTTAAATCTGCAAACCCCACACTTGTAGTGTTAAATCTGTAAACCCCACACTTGTAGTGTTAAATCTGTAAA